TTGCAAGAACATGCCAGTAATAACTGCGTGTATCCTTGTAATTGTACAAACAAATTTTGATTTGCAAGTTGATGAGAAAAGACCTTGAATTTTCGACAGCTGTAGTAATAGTTATTTTTATTTTATTTAATGCAAAATTTTGTTTAAATAATAAAAATGCATGAGATAAAAGAATAAATAAATGAATAAATGAAAATTCAATAATATTACAATCTAAATTTAATGTTACGTAAACCTAATCATGTTTTTAGTAATAAATCAATTAATTTTGTAAATTTAGAGCACATGCACGTTTATTACTTTTAAAATATTACGATTTAGTCGTCTACCTCACAAGGGGCCCCACAAAATGTGAGTCCGACCATGCTAAGGGAAACTTGAAAGCTGTCCCAGTAATATTCTAAATTTAGAGAAATAAAAAAACCGAAGGTCGAAACCAACCGAATGCGGAAAGGAGGCGACGCATTGTACACATTGTAAAAAATCCATGTTGAGTACATTAAAAAAAATATATATAATCATAATCATATAATAAAGCAGGTAATGCTAGAGGTATTATTTCGTTTGCGTGTCCCTAAAAAAATCGTCAAATTTTTAACACTTGTCGCTTTTAGTGTAAAGTAGTAAAACCCATATGTTATAGTGCGATATTTACGGAGGAAAAAGAGGAACCAACTCTCGAGTGACCTAATTAAAAAGTGCGCGTTAATTAAGCTAGTATAATATGCTTGCGCACTCTAAATTGACCCTATTAAGCAAGGACGAGAAAATCGCTTTTCCTACCTACATTCAACGATGAAATTCAATGACTCACAGCAACGAGTCTACGTACGCTAAAATATTTACACTATTTTTGTTTGTTTATGTAATAATTATTATTTATTACTTTTGTTGTTACCATATATTTATACAGCGGTGCGTAAAGATGACAACACACCTACACCCAGTTTTATACAAGTTTATTTATATATATTTTTTTTTTCATTTTCGGGTTAGTGCGTTGTATACCCTGGATTTTAGACTCCGTGAGATAGTTACAATGCAAGGCGAAATAATAATAAATGAAGGTAAAAAAAAAAGATTCGTTATACCAGGCTCCTGTTATTGGAAAATGTCAGTGCTTCGCGAAAAATAAATAATATTTTTTCTAAAAACCAGAAAAAGTACTTGAAAAACCAAGAACAGTCACAAGTATAGCGTATTACAAAGAGAAAATAATACTAATGAATAAAAAAAATCGAGAATTGGAAGAGCAAAAAAAAAGTCAAAGGTTAACAAATAATGTTGAAAGGCACACACTCACGACCATAATTAATCGTATAGAAATAAAAGAACTACCACACAATGACATAGCAAATGCACGATATACCATCACCACAAGGATAATAAAAATTAAAATAAGTACAATATATATACGTATAAATAAACACTAAAGAGTTGTTAAATCAGTGGACGGGGTACATATATGGTACAAGTAACGTGGGGAAAGGTTGTACTGCTAGGTAAATACAGAAATTTTTCTTTTAATTTTCTTTAAATTATTCGTAAGTGAATGATAAGTATTTTTTGACGTCTTTCGTTAGTTTTGAAAACTGAGGGACACCCGTCTTTTGCAATCATGTGCGACACTCTTTTTTTCTCTTTTTCAACGCGTTCCTTAGTAGCATTGACTAATAAATAAAAAAAATAAATAATTAAAAAATAAAAAATAAAAATGCAGCTCTACGCTTCACATAAATGAACTGCGAGATGATTCGTGAAACAAAGATGCATGCAAAATACGTGATATAAGTTAAGAACTTGTTTGCTCAGTTCGTCAAAAATAGCGCAACTTTTCGATTTAAAGGAAAGAAATAAAGGAAAATAACAACAATAAACCACAAAATCGAAAAAGTGCGCGAAATCTCGAACAACTGTTCTCAATCGTCAGGGGAGGGGACACACTTGATGCATGAAAAAACACGAATAAGTCCATTTACATATATTTAGTTTCGAGGAATCATTTTTGAAAGTTTCAAGGGCGAAGTAGGAAGAAGAAAAAAAAACGAGGCATGAGAAAACAAAGATAATAATATATACACACTCGTGATGTATAAACGGAGGGAAACTAAAAATATACATATGCCCGATTTGCTTATTAGTCTCTTTTTCTTACCATCTAGTCCATCCAGCATTTCCGGTGGATTGTGGTGGTCCGACGAGTCAAGGCCCGCGGCTACGCTGTCATTCAGGCCGAGTCCGCCTCCACCGCCTATGCGATCACCACCGCCACCACCACCCCCAGATTGGGGGACGCTGTCCTCGTTCATCACACCGACCGGATGACCCTGAGATACAATCAGACGTTTCACATATACATATATATTTTTTTTCTGGTTAATAACAACAAGATGTGCGAGTATATGTGAGTGCAAGTGTCTTTACTACACTAAGAAAAAAAAAAAAATTATAGAGAAATTCTAGCAAAAATTACCATTTCGCACAATAAATCGGATGCCAGTTGGCAAAAAAGGAAAAAGTTGTTATTTTTTTAAATTAAATGTTATTGTTTTAACAGTTAAAATTATGGTTAGAACTGTAAAAATTTCGATGCAGGCAGGTAAAATTTATTAACCGATGCTATTAAGGTTTACTGTTCCAGTATAATAATTTTTACTTTTCGAACCACAATTTTTATCTGTTAAAACAATAACCTTTACTGTTAAAAATAATAATTTTTTTCCTTTTTCGCCAGCTTGCATCCGATTAACTGTGCGGAATGGTAATTTTTGCTGGAATGGCTATTTAATTTTTATTACTTTTTTCTCTCAGTACATACAACAAGAATTATCAATTGGTTGTTAATGTTAACAAATAATTTAAAATCATTAAAAAAAATTTTTTTTTCACAAGAAATGTGTTATCAAAATAGTGTACCTACAAAGTTATTAACACAACAATGTTGATTGTAACATAACATCAATCATGTATTTAATTCTCAAATGACAATGTAACAAAAAAAAAAAAGTTACAATGCAGTTATTTTCAAGTACAGGTAAAAGACTACAATGTACTTTTCATCGACAACCCCGTGGGCACTGGTTTCAGTTACGTCGAAAATAATGCTTATGCCACAACAAACGCTCAGATCGCCTCTGACTTAGTGGAAACGATGAGACAGTTTTTTAAAAAATTTCCGAAATTCCGTAGCACTCCAACTTACATTACTTGTGAGTCTTACGGAGGAAAAATGTCTGCGGAATTCGCTCTTGAATGGTACAAGGTAAACGCGATTGGATTCAACAATATTTTTGGCAGTAAATTAAAAAAGTTTTATCTTACCGAGGAGAAAAAAAATCTCCACCTTTTTAACTTTAGGCACAAACATCGGGTACCATTGACAGCAAGTTAATGGGTGTCGGGCTTGGTGACAGTTGGATTTCACCGATTGACAGTGTTCTTACGTGGGCCCCATTTCTTTTGAAAACAGTGAGTAGATTGATCGTTTTATTTATCAAACTTGTAAGTACGCTTTAAAGCAGAATTTTCATTTCATGAGGGACATTGATTTTTCGATATTTAATTAATGACAGTTTAATATTTTAAATATTTATTTTCTGTAGATCAGTGGGCAAAGCAATAAAATTTGTTTTTTCTTACGCAGGCCATTGTAAGCGATTTCTTTTTTTTTTATTGTCAAAAAAATATTAATTATTTCTTGCAGGGGTTTTTTTAATATTCAATATCGTATATGATTCAGGTGATAATGAAAACCTCATTGCGTTATTCAATAAACTCATCCATTTTAGATACCGATAAAATGAGCCTTAAAATTCTTTAACAAAAGTTATTTTATACGATTGAACATCGAATACTCGGTTAATAACTTTTTAAGAGTATTTACATTTTGTGAAAAAACAATCTGTTTCATCATTTTCGAGAATTTGATTTATTGACAAATTAAATGAAATTTATTTACTGAGTGACATATTCAATAATTAAACTATAGTTTGAAACTACAACCATAAGTTAATATTTTAATATTCCCTTTTTTTCGTCAATACCCAAATGTATCAGCTTCGCCGATTTAAATTTGGAAAAAACAATTTTTCAAATTGATAATTAGTGTAAAATATACGAGCAAACGAAGCCACCTACAACAACAACAACTTAATTAATCAAATTTAAAATTGAAATACCAAGAAATTGAAGAACCTTTATATGCCAATTTTGCCATGCTTATTTAATTGGCTGTGACTTTTTTTCATATTTGGTAAAAACAAAAGTGACACCTGAGAAGACGTCATGTAGAAAATTTTTTTTTGTATTGCACGATATGGTTTAGGGTATGATTGACACGGAGGGCTTCAAAAGAATCCAAAAGTCAGCCATGGACACGAAGGCGGCGGTGGATGCTGGAAAATGGTTGGCAGCTACGTCGCTATGGTCTAGTACGGAAAATGTTATTTCAGCGGAAACCGGTGGCATTGACTTTTACAATATTTTAACGAAGAAAAGAAGCTATTACAAAAAAACAGCCCAAGATCTCGCGAAAGCAGAAACTCGAGGTATTCTTCCCCCCACCACGAACCTTCATTGAAATATATAAAATACACGTTGCGTGAAAATAATTAATTTATGTCATCGCATCATTGGCTCAAATTTGAGTAATTTAATTATTTTAAAATCACCAAGAGAAAAAGTAAAAATTAATCTTTCAGATGGAGTTGAGGTTGATGACGATTTTGCCTTGAATAAATTAATGAACGGTTTGGTAAAAAATACTCTCAAGCTCAACGTATCCTGGGGTGCACAGGGAAACAGAGTTTTCAGTTATCTTTCTAAGGATTTTATGAAACCAGTCACTCACATAGGTATTATTGAGCAGCTAATTACATTTTCGTGCTAAAATTCAAATGTGTGTGCAATTTAATATTCAGATTTTTATTTAAAAAATTTTTCGACGTATAGTTGACCGTTTACTAGAAGAAACCGATCTCAAAGTATGTGTTTACACTGGACATTTGGATTTGATTGTTGACACACCAGGTAAATTTTTTTCCTTTTGATTCACTGTTATTTCGAATAAAACAAAATTGTACTGATTACAAATAACTATTTTGATAAATAAAAAAAAAAAAAAAAAAAAAAAACCAACAAATGAGCAAAAGTTTAAATTAGTTGATAAATCCGTTTAATCCTTTGAAAAAAAAAAAAATTATTTTGCAGGAACATTACTGTGGGTTGAAAAACTAAAATGGAACAACATCGATGATTGGAAAAAAAGTATAAGGTCACCATTGACCGTTAACAATATTATTGAGGGTTATATAAAAAAGTACAATAACTTCAGCTTCATCTGGGTCAGCCGATCTGGACACATGGTAATAAATTTTAAAAATTTGTAAACATGTTTTTGGATAAATTTTTTTACAATATGTACATATTTCTAGTATAAAAAAGAAGGAATTAACTTGATACTTAGGTATAATAAGTAATTAAACATTCCCCTTGTAGTAAATATTTATGTATTTTTATTACAGGTACCTTCCGATAACCCTGCAGCCACTTCAGCTATTCTTAAACATTTGATTGGCCAGTAAAAACATATGGAAAAAACATAACAACGATTACTACTTTTGTTAAAAAAAAAAAAAATCATTCTTTGAAGCTAAAAACAATATTGAGACATGCCTAAAATTATTTGCTAATTTTACATTTGTTGAAATAAAATTTATAAAAATTCTCAAAAAAAAGTGTGTAAACAATTGTTAAGACGATAAACTTATTTAAATACATTTCATATTTTTAATTACTACACACTATTATACATATTTTACTTTGAACGTATTTTTAAGTTATGGAATTCACTTCACCGATACTTATAAATAGTATCAGCGTTAACACAATATATCCAAGAGTTTGTGTTCTTTAAGTTGGTAATTAGATAAAAAAAAGGAGAAAATTTTAAAATAAATTTAAAATCGCCATCATCAATACGATGTACCCTTAATAAATTTCAAAACAATACAAACCGATGATATTATTCCAATCAACCAATTGTCTTCTGGTAACCGTATTTATGATAATTATAATTAACGTTAATTTTTTTTTTTTTTTACATTTCTTCTCGATACTGATTGTCAATGTAGAGTATAAAAAATTGATTATGTTCATAACATGATGGATCCTTCCCTCAATCAACGATTAAAACATTATTAATAAAAAAATTGAAAACAGCGACGATGCAAATTGAGCCGATCATCCATGATGTTTACTTTTGAAAAACTTTATAATTGTCGAAATGTCATTTGTTTCGTCAAAATGAACCATTTTGTTTTTTCAAACGACTCCCGCGCAACGAAGTGAATAGAGAGAGAGCGCTCACCGGCTCACATAGTGGTCTGTCTGCTAGTCAGCTGGTGTGAACGTAAACATTTATATATATATGACATTAACACTACAGCTTAAAGCTTGACTTTTGCATTTCTTATTCTTTTAAAGTTAGACAATCAAGCTGATTTATTTCTCCTTTTCTCGAAATGGATAGTTTAATCGTTAAGAAAGTACTTCATACCGGAAACAAAGAAGTTACGTTTATACCCGGAACTAAGGTGAGTTTTCTCACTGATAGGTTATTTTTGGGAGACGCTTCAACACCAAATTTTCTATGCTTTACACTAATAAGAATCAATCGATGTTTCTTGTATTGTTTTTTTTTTAAAGGTGATTTTCCACTTTAAAACAACAAAATGTGATTCAGACAAGACTGTCATCGATGACAGCAAAAAAATGGGCAAGCCAATGGAGTTGGTTCTAGGCAAACAGTTCAAACTCGAAGTTTGGGAGGCTATTGTGCAGAAAATGTCTGTAAACGAAGTTGCAACTTTTACTGTTGATAAAAGTGTAATTATGTACAATTTTTTATTGCACTTTACAAAGGTGGTTAGTTGTTTTGATTCATCGATCGCTTAAATTTAGTTGGTCACAGCGTACCCTTTTGTATCCAAGACTCTGCGAGAAGCTGATAAACCAAAGGGGGAAAAACGTAGTCATCACTGTTGTGGTGTAACGCTGCAGAATGAAGGAATAGGTTATCCTGATTTAGACGATCTCATTAAAAATGCTCAAAACTTGGAATTTACCATAGGTAAAAGATATTCTACAGTTGAACTTTTTTTTTTTTCGTCATCCTAGGTAAAATTTTTTTTGTAGAACTACTAGATGTGATCTTACCTCACGAATATGATAAAGAATCATGGCAAATGACGGAAGACGAAAAATTGAAAATTATTCCAGTTTATAAAGAAAAAGGAAATGCTTTATTCAGAGACAAAAAGTACGAAGCAGCGGCAAACATTTATGCCCAAGCAATTGGAATAATAGAACAGCTTATGCTGGCGTGAGTCTAATAATGATGACTTGTCGGTTGTATGTGGCACTATTTATTTAGTTTTTAATGTACCAATAATTTATTTTGTTACAAGAGAAAAGCCAAATGATACGGAATGGCTAGAACTGAATAGTATGAAGTTACCCTTACTTTTAAACTTTGCTCAATGCAAACTGATAAATCAAGAGTACTATGTTGTGATCGAGCACTGCACTACAGTGCTGAAATATGATCCAAGTTAGTATACTGCAAATGAATGCATCTGATCACAAATTCGTTATTCAGTAAGTTGTAATAAAAAATTCTTTTAGACAATGTCAAAGCTCTGTACAGAAGAGGAAAAGCGCATATCGGAGTTTGGAATGAGGAAGAAGCCATTGCGGATTTAACTAAAGCAGCAGAGCTAGATAAATCACTTCAGCACGGTATAAATAAGGAGTTGCAAGCGTTTGCTGCTTCAGTCAAAGAAAGGAATAAGGCATACAAAAAACTCGCAAACATGTTTAGTACTTAAAAGGTTACCATCATGAGTTTAAAAAACGTGATAATCTATGCTTTGTCTCATGGACATACAATGAACTTCATCGATTTTTAGTGTGTTTGTTTTTATATTGATTTCTTCTTCAATTTGCATTTGCATCTTCAACAGAAAACGAAGTGACGCTTGAGCCTGAAAGAGTTTGATTTTTAAGTGTAAACTTTTTGTATTATATTTGTATATACGTATCGTATTTGTAATAACAAATATTTAATATATATAAACGTACGTTGATCGCTGTTAACGAGTATATAAAATTTTTACGTAAACTCACTTCGAATAACGTTTGCTGAAGCTGCGAGATGACAACCTCCCTCAAATCAGAAACTTCTTTTGCAAGGCTTTCTTCCACTTCGTCGCGAGTCAGTTCTAAGCCCGGCCTCTGGCAACGATTTCCCAATCTCGTGTGTGCCAGTGCTAGGAATCCCTCCTTCTCGGCAATTTTTTTCTCCAAACGCGTTATGTTACTCGTCATTTCGTTAGCCTGTTGCATGATCTATTGGGCATTGAAATTAATTTTCCTTTGATCACGGACAAATGACTTTCACACCTGTATACTATGTACAGTTGGTCGACTTATTGCAAACAGTTACCTCAGAGTGCTGTTCTTCCAGCTTGTCTTTAGTGAGCTTTGTTTCTTCGATTCTGCGCCTAAAAGCTTCATCCGTGGCATTTTTTTGATAAATCAATTTTGTTATCACTTGCTGGAGTATTTGATCGATGTGGGGACGAATTTTCTTGGCGATCTCCACATCTTGTTTCAATGAATCTATGTTTTTTCTCGTTTGCATTTTCCATTCGTCAATGCTAATGCCTCTGCCAAATCAATCGTTTCGTTAGAAAAAAAAAGTAGAAAAAAAAATCCAAGAGAAACTCTATACGTACGAAGATTCCAAAGCAGATTTTCCCTGGTAAATACTGAGATGAAGACTGGTTTCCTTGAGAGTCAAATTGTGCCTATCGATGCGCAAACTATTTTCCTTGTCTTCTATGTCGTGGTCGATGAAATACAATGTAGCCTTCAGCCGACGAATTTGCTCTTGAGTCTGGTCCAAGGTGTTGGACATCAATTTGTCGGCGCACTTGATAATTTCGCACTCCTTGCGCAGCTCCGTTTCCACCTTGTCGATCGCCAAATCTACTCCCAACCGGTGCTCCCTGGATATAAATGTGCATAGCTCAAAACCTGGGTAATTTCAAAGTAACTGAAGCAACAAAAAAAAATAAGGCCTTTACCTAGTCAGCAAGCACTTTAGACAAATGTCGAGAGCATTTTTTCTCAACGAAGTCAGAGAATTGGTCAGGCGTTCCCTGTAAACTTTAAGGGTGTCTATTTCCAAGGGTAAAACGTTGCGGTACCGCTCGAGCTCGTCTTTGCAAAATTCAATGTGTTCTATTCTTTGCTGCAACTGGTGATTGGTATTGTCTCGGTTGGATTTGACCGCTTCGGTTGTGAGTTCGCATACTTTGTCGGATTTCGCGATGATTAGACGAGCCAAATTACGTTGAGCTTCGGAACAATGGAGTCTGTAAAACAATGACGTTGTATCGTAAAATCAATAGTTTTACGCTTTTGAAAGATCCATAAAATCGTGTGTTCCCTGGTGTATAAAATATATGTATATTACGTACGTACCTAGCACAATTGCTGGTGTACCAATCGTGCAAGGTAAACTTGAAGTTTTCCAAATTTGTCGAGTTGGGCTCGGTTTTTCCTTCAACTATTGAATTTACCATTTTTTTAAAGTCGAAATTATTAATTTGTCGAGGTAAATGAAGCCTTGGAAAAGTCGACCAGTGAACGAAATAATTTTGTAAGGTCCAAGATGTATGTTTTATCGTTTACGGTTTCTAGGGAAACCGTACACCTGCAACCTTATGAGAACAGGTGCCATTTGTCTGTGTGAATAATTATTTGTAAAATGTGAGTATGCACTCAGACTAGGATTAGGAATCAAACAACACAACCCGGATGGCAATTTCATAATTTAATACTACGTAACAATAAATTTAATACATGAATAATTTTTGTAAAATAATTGTTGACGGTAATAAAAATATTTCAATTATGACTTTTTATTACAACTGTGTAAAGTAGTTATAAGGAATCATAAACACAGTAGAGACTCATGAAATAAGATCTGGAATTTGAAATTGTTTATTAATTCTTACTACATAGATGGTTGCTTTGCTCCCTGATACTTTTTTTAATTCGCATGTAATCAATCGCTGTAGAATTGTCGCAGATCCGTCTGGGTGACACGAATTTTCCAACTTGTAACAACAAATTTTTTGCTTTAACAACAAATTTTTAATATTTTCTTTTTCATGAATACATGATTGTACATTTAAATTTAAATTCAATAACTGTTTTTTTTGTTTATTACACAATTCACTTGCTCATACGTCACGTGGAAGTGGTGACAGATAAATATTTTTTTTGTCCTCGATGAGTTTAAATTAGGTTGACGCCTCCTACTTTCTAAATGGTTAATTTTTTCTCATACCGAGAAGTTTCGTTGGTTGAATTTAATCGAAGCCTTTAAATCGTCCAATCAGGGCAGGTTATACGCAACAGCTTTGTACAGTAGTGTCAGTAGTGCACCAATGTCGTGTGTCCTGTCTGTCGCGCGCCCCCTATGATTTTTTGTTTTATCAGTTTTATCACATGTCACGTTGCAACCTGTAGACGGCTGTATAGTAGAGTTCCATTGCCCGTTTCGACTTAAAAACAACGACAACTTTCTGCAGCACTTGTTGATTGTTGAAGTAGGTACCACTTATGCACATCGTGCCTTTTTTTACCTGGTGTTCTTGCATGCCATTGATTCAATCCTTCCCTACTTCGTACTAAAGTATTTTATTATTCGGTTATTAATATCAACTCTTGTCTACATGAGTAAATTAAGAATTCTTGAGAAACGACAATCAAGCCGTTCGACCGACATGTACAAAGAACACACACCCTTGGTGAAGCACACGTTGTTTGCGGAAATTTGTCAGACAACCGAAAGGTTAGTGTAGACTCGATATACTTGATTACAGTACTTGCCTTAACTACTTTTAACTAATTTAATTGTGTTACTTGTGTCTATCGGTGGTTTTTTATATTTGAAATTTTTTTTTTTTTTTTTTTTTTTTTTTTTTTTTTTTTTTT